TTTGAACTCTCTTTCTAGCTCAAGCTACTATAAGATTTTGGGCTCATGTGGGAGAGACCTTTCGTTGCATACAGAAGAGACTATGGGGACCATAAATTGCTTTTAAAGGTCCATGGGTCCCAAAATATGAGATCGCTGAATACATGGTGAATACTTAATGGACTGGTCAAAACAATGTTTTCCAGGTTACGGGTACTTCACATAAAAGCGTTGGATTAATGAGTCTATAGAAATTAACAAATCAGCCAACGTCTTGAATAGGCGAAAGGAGTGCAGAAAATTGTGTAGGAATTATTTTGTCTTTTGGAGAGGGAGAGCAGGAAGAGCCACTTAATAAGAGACAGCTCGATTAGTTTTGAGTCTAGCTAGGACTATCACATCTATCATGGCATGAACATTGCATGCACACTATATACGTTATATCACAGCCCAAACATGATTTTGCATTAAAGGATCGTAGACTAGTTTATTTATGTAAGGAAATAGCTGCCATCGGAGGCACTCCTGGTTTGTGAAGTAAGTGGTCTGCAAGTATGTATAGTAGGGTTGAGGTAGCCAACCAAATCAAGAAGTTAGGTGTCTAAAAATGCGACTAGGGTTGAAGCCGGCCATCCTTACTCTTGGTTTATTATATCTCTGCTCTATTTCGTCAAGTATGGATTCTCGCTCTGATGTTGTCTGTCACGGTACAGACGAAAGCTTAGCTCAAGTTTATCGGGGTCGCACGGAGGTGAGCTGATGACTTCCTGTACAATCTTCACTATGCCGCAATCCCTTGGTTTCTGATAAGTCCACATCACGAATTCCTTCCACCTAACTTTTCCCTCCTAATTGAAAATCATGTAAAAATAAATCACTAAGACTATTTCCGGAACCCGGTTTTTATTCATATATTCTCCAATATTCTTTTACTAAACATTCCTTATTTCTTGTGCTTGTAAAATACTTTGAATCATGTAAACTAATGTCTTAAGCGTTACAGCTTGGTTGTCTATCGATGAATCGAAGAGCTGGATATATTTGTTGATTGAATCAATGCTGAGCATCTCAAAAGTACGTTATCGGCCAGAGTGCATTAATTCCCAACAGCTCAGTCAACCTGTGGTAAATATCTAAAAGTATTTTTGGCATGCTCCCTTTATCGACGAATTAGTCTTAGTGACCTATCTGTATGTGAGATAGATAGGAGTCTAGACAGCAATGGAATTATACTCATGATCTCTAAGGTTTACCAATTTTGGGGTCCATTTCTCGCACTTTTTCATTAAATTTGTGAACTAGTCTATCATTCATTCTTCAGCTATCCTAATAGCTTCTCCCTTTTTTTGAGATGATTATTTACATTTTGTCCTGGCAAGAACGGGGCAATTCAATCGTCCTCAGAACCCCTTGTAGACGTCTTCCACAGACTATATGCTGTTATTTTATTCGTTTAAAGATAGGCAATTTACTTTATTTTTAAGAAAACCATTCTATTCAACATTCGTTTATTGTTGCGTCAATAGTACTCTCTGTGCTAGAATAAAAATATGTCATTTCGTGTGCTATCGATACTGCAAATTGCTTTTTACAGCAAGCTTCCCTCACTTATCTTCTTTAAATGTTTTGATGTTTCCGACAGCTTTGCCTTACATTGCTTAGCGTTTTATTTCTATTTAAAGGACTGCGACATTGCCGGTAAAACCTTGATTGACGAAATTACATCTATTCATGCCATTTTGACTTCGACACGAATAAACTACATAGAGATAAATTTTTACATAAGTCTTCTCTCATCACCAGCATCGCATATCCCTTAGTCGGCTGGTAGATCATCATCTTTTTATACTGATGATCTTGAAAATAATTCCAATTATTTTAGATTGGTCAAAGCGACTCTGTATAGGAAATATGTTATCTTCAAATATTTAAAATGGGCCCTTGGCTAGGCTTTTCGCAAACGCAGACAGATAAGAAGGCAGAAGATTGGCAACGAACTTTTGAGTGTGTTTTTATGGGACCTATTAGGAATTACAATGGGCAATCTCATACACTTAAGTCCAAGTAGAGCTGATTAGTAATGTTAACCGAGCTTTAGAGTTCCTAATGAGAAGGAAGCTACTCCTCCTCGACAGGAATAATTCCAAGATTTCGTATCAAATTTTCCTAACTTTTCAATTTAATAATATATGTATAATAGAGCTTTATTTTTATTGCAACAACTTAGTCTATCAAAATACTCGGGCTTTTTTAAACTTGTAATTTTGATGATTTTCTTTTCCGTTACGCGAAAAATATTAGGCTTTATTAGTATTTCACTGGTTGAAGTCCTAGCAAATTTTAGTTCTATCCATTCCCCTCCGTTCTGTCGATCACGCCATTCATACTCTATGCACAATTTTCCAACTATTAATGCTATCAACGTTTTTCTTTCTTTCTATCTTCATTGAGTTTTTTATGAGCATTTTAAAGCAATTTATCATTTAATCTAATGAAAAATTAATAACGGAACTGGTTGCCATTCCAAGGTCTGATAACATTCAAATTTTTACCTCCTGCCTTGATAATGTCCGTTCATATTTTGTATACCTTTTTCTGGACGGTGGTTTTGCCAAAATTTTTTGCATAAAATTATTCCGTGGGGTCCCCAGCAAACAGTTTTGAGGATATTATCTTTTCCCTTTAGTTTAATGTTTGCTATACTGGAACTCATTTGTGATCTGAGAATCCTAAACCTTAAGTCAAATATTCACGTTGGATTTTTAATAAAACTACTCATATTCATTTATGTTGCAAGAATTTTACGTTTCTGAAGCAAAGAACCTATCAAAATATGGCCTAATGTTAGTTCAATTTTTATTATCCGGTTTCATCAATAGCACTTACTTTTCTTTCTCTCTTGGCGTCGGTCATAAACTTCTCTAGAAAGGACGATCACTTATCCAAACGCCCATATCTTTTTGTGAGACAGGATCAATTATTATTTTATAGGCAGACCCATCTTCTGTCTACTTCAACTGCATATTCCGCATACTAATTATTAATTCCAGTATATTATGTGCATATATTTGAAGCTATGGCTTTTGACCCATATGTTAAGTTGGACGATGTGTACCTTGATTAGAATTGCCCAAATAGAGAATATTCACTATTCATATTAATTTTATAACCAAATGTATGACTGCTTGATCCCTAATATACTTAAACAAAAACTCGGACGTTATGCATTTCAAGCTATATCAGTTTCATGTAAACTGATGCTTTACTTCTACATTGCATCGTTGCCTAGATGTATACTCAAATATCTAGTCCTCCTTTTATTGCTAATCACCGTGAAGGACATGCATTTTTGCTTAGATCGCCTGAGCTACCCACTCTTCGCTAGCATCTTTTTCCGAGCAGCATTGGTTTATTTTATGGCCATTCACTCGGATGCCTCTGCTTTTCTTGGCTGATATTGACTTTACTAAGGTTATTACTCTGCCTTGTCTCAGCGACAATATGTCTATATTTATAAACGAATTCAAAAGGTTAATGTTTGGTTCTAATAACCAAGTATGCCTACTTTCCTTGACCAGGTAATAGATTTTATTCTATTTCATTAACTTATCTTTACTTTGCGTGTTAACCTAAGAGCGAATATGAAGGGAAAAGGGCTCTTTTAACTCATATCGCTGCCTTCGTTTACGTTTTTTGTTTTTAAAGTTAATATCTTACATATATGCGTATACATAATAGAGGTAGTTTTCATTCGAAATCTATTTATATTTATCTTGATACATTTGGCCAATTTCCTTTAAGAATTTTTTAAATTTATCTTTGTTACTCATTCTGTGAAGTCTCATAATTTACTTTATTTTACTAGGTTAATCTGTTTTACATGGCTAAACTGTTTTGTGTGGACTAATCACAATAGCTTCATTCAGTATTGCTCTCTTCTCTGTCTCCCCTTGCAGACAGCCGTAGCATGGATGTATTAGCATCAATCACGGAGATGCTGGACAACGACACTTCGGCCTGCATGATTCCAGATGACTCCTCTGCGGACGGCGAGAACACTGAGCTTGGGTATACAGAAGTGGCTGAGGACGCCTGTAGGGACCAGGAAACTGAACATGATGATGGAGAGGACGAAGTTGCTACTGAGGCTCAGGGCAGTGATGAGGATATTGAAGAGGAGACGCAGGAGGAAGAAGAGGATGCGGGCTGGCTGGATGATATTACTGTGGACTCCGTCCCTCAGCAGACTCTTTCGACTAGCCGGATCGCTGTTGTCTCTTCTGCTGAGACACATTATTCTCGGTTTATTGCCAGCCTTTCAGACGACTGCCTTTCTGCCCGTAGGGACAAATCGGTCAGAACAAATAGACTACATCCAGCAGACTCAGCAGGCGCCATAGCCACTTTATCCCCATTTGACTATTCGCCTGAAATCCACCAACTAACCACTACCTCATCATTTGGACAGATGGCCTTATCTATTGTTTCAGTCACCACTTGTTCTGGCTTTCCTAGCGTTGCCACGGCTACGGATTTGCCGAGTAAGTCATGCTCGAAGCACGAGGCAAGGGATGAGGATCAAGAGAGCGGAGGGAACATTAGGCTGAATGAGAAGAGAGTGGGAGAGGAGGATCTGGAAGCAGAAGAGAAAGAGGAAGAAGAGGAAAATCTGATTGAAGTATGTGCAATACGAGACAGACCCTCAGATCGCGAAGATAGAGCAGGAAGAGATATAAGCGATTTTAGATATTTTGTGCATAAAAATAAGAGAAAGACGGAGGATGCAGGCGAGGAAAGTTTAGTGGAAACGGTATCAGCTCCCGTAAAACCACCTACAGACCTTTACTGGCAGGGGGTTGGCCATTGTGGCAAACTCCGACCTCGTCGCGACCAGCTTGAGCCCTCTCAGAGCTTAGAAGAGTCAGGCGTCTCTTTGGCATTTTCATCCACCACCTCAACGGCTCTCATCAATTCAGTCCCTCTCATGGCCTCCGCTCTGGCCATTCGCCGGCCAGGTCTTACAGAAATGTCACCTGTTGTTGGGATTCGTGGTCAAGATGAAGATAGCAATGAGAAAGATTCAACCATCTGTCCTGTAGAGGCAGCCTCATCTGTAATTACGATGACCTCTCCTGGATTTGCCAAATGCTATGCAGAGCCTTCTTATGCTACGTTACAGGGTGACGGTATTTCTCAGCTTGAGGATGGTAAGGCTTTATTTCCTGTGGTCTTGACAGTTTTTCTTACTTTCATATTTATTAGCTAATCTGGTCCCGCAACAAAATTTAAGATCCGGATTCAGGCTGGAAATACATCAACCGGGCAATTCTCACGAAAAGCTCGATCTGTAAAGATCGGAATTAACTCTCAAATAGCAGTATTATGTATTAATTACGAGTTTATTTTTCATTCCTCAGTGTATGGAGTTTTTTTCCTGTGCATATAGGCTAAGCGCTAGTTTGTGATGTTAAAGATATCGTTATAACTTGAGATCATTCCTACAAAATCAGGTTAGCACCGAATTAGATAGATTCAAACAACCCAAAAATATGGATTATTTATGCTATAAACATTAATTTTAATCAAATGTTAAAAAAAGGTGATTTCATGTACGAAAATATATGTAGGCTATTGTGTACACAAGAACACAACAGCTAGGTTTAATGATGTTATTGAGATCGCGAAATAACGGATACACGTCTGCCGATGTAGTGAACATTTAGGCTAAAATCAGATGTGTAATAAGTGCGTAG